AAAAACAACAACATAGTTATCTGTAGAAAATCATGTCAGTAATTGCCAGCCGATTATGATGCATATCAGTTAATATCTTGACCCTCCTCCACAAAAATATCTGTTTACCTGGCCGTTTTCCTATGTCATGAACGCTGAAATTTCAAGTGAGTGGAGCTGTGAAAGCCTGCAAAGGCCACAGCCTGTTCTGCACACCCCCTTCAGGCCCCAATCGCCCTCCTAAAATCCTGTGCTGCCCCCAAAAGTAAAGCTCGCGGTACAATGGCAGTGCTGCCGCCCGGTTTTCCTGTGTGTGGCGCCAGGAGCAGCAGCTCTGTGGTGTGATGAAAATGCACCTAATGTACCCAATGCTCACTCACTATGATGCATTTGCACTGTTCAAACCTCCCTCCCTTCCTTTTTGCCCTCCCTCTTGTCCCAAGATGCCAAATAAGTTCCCCTGACCCACTCCACCAGCCACTGCTGCCTATAAGACATGGCAAAAGTAGGAAAATGAGGAGCTGGGATATGGAAAAGCAGATTCAAAAAGTAATCCTAAACTCAGAAAGTTATTGAACTCAGCTTGAATAAAAAAACCTCAAGAAACATAAATATCCTACCTGGTGATTTAAAAATCCCTCTGTTCTTTGCTAGATCACCTATTCTTCATTTACTCCAGCGGTGAGTGAAAAAGACGATATTTCTTCCTTGTACCAAATGGCCCCCAGTGAAGAACATCAATACACTGGCATTGTTCAGCTTCTTCTCTATTTCCAGTGGAAGTGGGTTGGGATATTTGTCACAGCTGACGATAAAGGAGAAACATTTGTGAAAAAGTTGACACGCCAGCTTTCCCGGAATGGCATCTGTATAGCTGTCACTGAGAGAGTGGTAAACCACAGTGGTTTTGGTGATAATGGGTTGATAGAGAAATGTCAGAATACGGCCGAGTCCCTAAGCAAAACAAACGTCAATATATTTGTTGTCAATGCAGACAAAAACACCAAGACAGGTTTGCAATGGCTGCTACTGATAGGTAGAATGATGAGTATGAGTCCCATAAACAAAGTGTGGGTTATGACCGCCGACTGGGATTTCTCTTCGGACCCATTCCACAAAGATCTGGATATACAAAACTTCCATGGTGCCTTATCCTTTGCCATTCATTCCAGTGAGGTGAAGGGGTTCCACCATTTCCTCCTGAACCTAAATCCCCACTCTGAGACCGATGGCTTTATCAGGTTCTTCTGGCAACAGGCATTTGGTTGCCAGTTTCTAGATGTGGAAACGGAGGAGGAATTCTGCACTGGTGAGGAGAAGCTGGAGAGCCTTCCTGGGGCTTTTTTTGAAATGCAAATGACCAGCCAAAGCTACAGCATCTACAATGCCATCTATGCTGTGGCACATGCTTTGCATGCCATGTTGGCACCCAGAACCAAACAGGGAGAGATGGTGCTTGGTAACTATCTGAGATCTCCAAATCAATATTTCCAGGTAATGTCTAATATAGTTTGTCAAGGAATACACACTTGCATTGGTTTGGTGAAATTCAATAAGCAGTTCAAAAGCTTCTGTTGTATTAATGTCTATGTAAAAAGAGTTGAATGGAAATTTTGAACTTAGGTTGTATGGACATGGATTGAGGATTAAATCTGTAAATTAGAATTTAAGCCTCCTATCCAACATGTGTGTGAGAAAAAGGATGGCAAGGAGGCTGTGAAGCTAGGAATTATGAAATTACACATTTTATCCCTTTTTATTTGTGTTCTGCTGATCTTTCCTCAGTTTCTACCTGTTGCTCAGAATAAACCAGGCAAATTTGTAAAAGTAAAAATGTTTACTTACATTGAATGAAGGCAGCCTCTACCTCTAGGCAAAAAATGCTTCTTAATTATGAAAAACAAAATTAGTTTCTAAAATGGAATCTGGGCAGGTATGTCTCCCCTTAAAACTCAAGGGGAACTTCCACAAATGGTCTGAATTGATCCCAGCATGAGAAAACAGAAGCTTTGTAGTGTATTCTCTATTTTTACCCAATTTACCATTCTCTTTCTTCCTCTGTAGCTTCAACCTTTCCTGAGGAATATCTTGCTTAACAACAGTGCTGGGGACACTGTCTTTTTTAATGAGAAACGTGAACTAGAAGGTGGATTTGATATTATCAACTGGGTGACTTTCCCAAATAAGTCCTTCTTAAGAGTGAAAGTTGGGAAGATGGATCCCCAAGCACCACTGGGCAGTGATTTCTCCATTGATGATAAGATCATTACATGGCACCAGAGTTTTAACCAGGTAGGACCCAATTGCAGCTTCTGAGGTCTATAGGTAGACATTCACCAGATTTGTTTCATAATCATGTACACCCTGCTGAATGAGTTCCTTTTAGCTGCATTGATTCTTTGTATGTTAGGGATGGCTTGTTTACATGTCACTGTAGTGATCTTGGCTTTCAGGGTTTAAAACCGTGCAGCTCTTCCCTGAAACACCATTTGAAATGCCTAGACTATTTGGTTGAACCAAGATTTGTTGACCAGTGGAAGGGGTGTTGGTGTAGTGTGGCTAGCAGCAAAGGGTTTGAACCTTTGTAGTCATTCTGTGGAAGAACTTTTAGGTGTCAGGGAATTATAAATTAATAAAATTAATAAAATTAATAAAATTAATAAAATTAATAAAATTAATAAAATTGATAAAAATTATAATTAATTTTTGGTGCATTCTTTGGCTCCCATACACCTCTGCCTACGCACTGTATTTCTGCTGTTGCCATGTTTGAGATTTCATTTTTCTTAAGGTGGATTGTGAAATAATAATCCATTAATGAAATAAATGTTTTATAATGAGAACATCCACATGCAACTAGCACAGAAAGCATGCAATGCAAAATTGTGCTTCGTAGGAATCTTTAGTTTCATTTCTGTGATTCATTTCTTTAATGGAACCAAGTTGCCACTTCTCATCTTTAAAAACATATTATAAAAGGGAAATTCATATCAGTAGATATTCACATTTTCTTTCCCTGAGCCATTTACTAGCTGAGTGGCTCAGTTGGTTAGAGCGTGGTGCTGGTAATGCCAAGGTCACAGGTTTGATCCCTTTATAGGACAGCTGTATATTCCTGCATTGGGCGGGGTTGGAATACATGATCCTCAGAGTCTCCTCCAACTCTATGATTCTATTACCTTTATTGGGTTGAATATGCAGAAATATTGGTGTCACAACCATTGTAAAGTTAGTGGCGCTTATTAATTAATTTATTTTTTAAAAAACCCTCTGGGTGCCTTATTTCAATGCAGCAGCCTGTTGATGAAAAGGCAAAGAACAAACAGAAATAGAATAGAATACATGCAATATCTTCTGTTTTATGGGCAGGTGGTGCCCCTTGCCTTGTGTAATGACTACTGCCATCCAGGTTACAGCAGACAAAGGAAAGAGGGAGAACCATTTTGCTGCTATGATTGTACTCCATGTCCAGAAGGGAAGATTTCAAACCAGACAGGTAAGGTACTGTATGCTATAGTATAACAACTATATTGAGAAGATGTTTTTTGTTAGCTATTTATGAACAAATAGACGCCTTACCCAAGACCTGAAAAGAAATGTTACTTGTCTGGTTGTCAACAGTTGAACAACAAGTATTATTCATTCATATATATATATATATGTATATATATATGCAGGTTTTGGTGTCCTCGGGTGTCTTCCCGTGTAAAAGTTGGGGTGTCTAGGCGACGTTTCGACGAGGTCTCACTCATCATGATGAGTGAGACCTCGTCGAAACGTCGCCTAGACACCCCAACTTTTACACGGGAAGACACCCGAGGACACCAAAACCTGCATTCCTGTACCCGTGAAAATCTACGAAAGTATATATATATATATATATATGCTTTCGTAGATTTTCACGGGTACAGGTACCAAAACCTCCATATATATATATATATATGAATGAATGTGCTTCTGTCCCTTGAACCCAAGAGAGGGTTTAGTCCTTTTTGTTTTCAAAGCTCCTTCATAGCAGAGCATAAGCTAATAATCCAAATCTTGCCTGTCCTCAAAAACCCCTCCAGACAATGTCTGCATGAAGCCACCAAACTCCCACGCTCTCAGTCAAAGATGCAACTAAGAGAAGAATAAACCAGCCGTCAGCTACCAACTGTCTCCTTCTTTCCCCAATACCATTTATTCTTTGTGAAATATATTTACTGTTCATAAACCGAGGTACCACTGTAAAAGTGTTTTATCATAAACAATATTATAAATTGCTAACCAGCATATCTTCTGCTTACCTCCACATCTGAAAACTTCATGGACTGCATGGACAGCAACTTACTTGATCACCAAAATTCTAGAAATTTCAATTCAAGAGTATTTTTTTGACAATATTCCTAGGTATGTTAACTGGATTATATTAGCGCCTTTAGTCTTCCTTTGACATTAGGCTTCCTTTCTGGGATAGGAAATAGTCTGAATATTGGTAAATGAAACTTCCTATTTTACAACCATTTCTACTGGTAAGCTGTGAAACATTAATGTTTAATTATTATTTCTCCATTCAGATAGCTTTGAAAGTTCTTATTGATGGACTAGGGATTTCTCCCCTCTAAACACACCCACATTTCATAGAATCATAGAATCATAGAGTTGGAAGAGACCACAAGGGCCATCGAGTCCAACCCCCTGCCAAGCAGGAAACACCATCAGAGCACTCCTGAAATATGGTTGTCAATTCTATGCATGTGTAAACACAAACATACATTTATGGAGCTTATCATTTAGATTTAATTCTGATTTAATTATCCACTGGAAACAATCTTCCAAAAATAGCTTACCTTAAAGACAAAACATGTTAACACTCTAACAATTTCCTGAAAAAGATAATGTTTTGTATCATGTATACTGTGAATTACACTGAATTATACTACAGTGACATTCAAAGTTTCCTGATCCGATACCATAAATATTTGTATCTCAGTGAGACTGAAAATGCTATAACTATAATCCTGATTTCTTTATACTGCAAGATATGGATGACTGCTTCCAGTGCCAAGAAGATCAGTATCCTAACCAAGAGAGAAACCAGTGCATCAGCAAAAAAGAAAACTTCTTATCTTATGAAGCACCTTTAGGCATCAGTTTGGCTCTTTTGGCTCTGGCTTTTTCTGCAACTACAGCTATGGTGTTTGGAATCTTCATCAAACATCAAAACACACCTATTGTCAAAGCCAACAACCAGAATCTCACCTACACCCTGCTCATCTCCCTCCTGCTCTGCTTCCTCTGCTCCTTGCTATTCATTGGGCGCCCCCAGTTACTGACCTGCAATCTACGACAAACTGCCTTTGGTATCATCTTCTCAGTGGCTGTTTCTTCTGTTTTGGCTAAAACCCTCACGGTGGTTCTGGCTTTCATGGCCACCAAACCAGGATCCAAGATGAGGAAATGGGTGGGGAAAAGATTTTCCACCTCTATTGTTCTTGGTTGTGCTTCTATCCAGGCAAGTATTTGTATGCTATGGCTGGGTACTGACCCTCCTTTTCCACATCTGGACATGCACTCTCTGCCTGAAGAAGTCATAGTGGAATGCAATGAAGGCTCAGCCAACATGTTCTACTCTGTTCTTGGTTACATGGGAATGCTGGCTCTTGTCAGCTTTGTTGTGGCTTTCTTTGCTCGGAAGCTGCCAGACACTTTTAATGAAGCCAAATTTATCACTTTCAGCATGTTGGTGTTTTGCAGTGTGTGGCTTTCTTTTGTTCCATCCTACTTAAGCACCAAAGGGAAGTACATAGTGGCTGTGGAGATCTTCTCCATCTTGGCCTCCAGTGCTGGAATCTTGGGTTGCATCTTCTTCCCAAAATGTTATATCATTGTCTTCAAGCCTGAACTCAACTCAAAAGGGCAGCTAAAAAAGAGAAATAAGTAACAATCTAACTATTAAAATCATTACAGTGGATAACCTTTTACATGTTTTAAGGTTTGTGTGTTTCGGAAGGCTTCAGCTTTCAGCTTCTCTTGATATTGTTGTTCTTGCTGTTTAGTCGTTTAGTCGTGTCCGACTCTTCATTACCCCATGGTCCAGAGCACGCCAAGCACTGCTGCCTTCCACTGCCTCCCGCAGTTTGGTCAAACTCATTCTGGTAGCTTCGAGAACACTATCCAAGCATCCCGTCCTCTGTCGTCCCATTCTCCTTCTGCCCTCCATCTCTCCCAACATCAGGGTCTTTCCCAGGGAGTCTTCTCTTCTCATGAGGTGGCCAAAGTATTGGATCCTCAGCTTCACGATCTGTCCTTCCAGTGAGCACTCAGGGCTGATATTCTTAAGAATGGATAGGGTTGATCTTCTTGCAGTCCATGGGACTCTCAAGAGTCTCCTCCAGCACCATAATTCAAAAGCATCAATTCTTCGGTGATCAGCCTGCTTTATGGTCTAGCTCTCACTTCCATACATCAGTACTAGGAAAACCATAGCTTTTACTATACGGGCCTTTGTTGGCAAGGTGATGTCTCTGCTTTTTAAGATGCTGTCTAGGTTTGTCATTGCTTTTCTCCCAAGAAGCAGGGGTCTTTTAATTTCGTGGCTGCTGTCACCATCTGCAGTGATCATGGAGCCCAAGAAAGTAAAATCTCTCACTGCCTCCATTTCTTCCCCTTCTATTTGCCAGGAGGTGATGGGACCAGTGGCCATGATCTTCGTTTTTTTGATGTTGAGCTTCAGACCATATTTTGCGCTCTCCTCTTTCACCCTCATTAAAAGGTTCTTTAATTCCTCCTCACTTTCTGCCATCAAGGTTGTGTCATCTGCATATCTGAGGTGGTTGATATTTCTTCCGGCGATCTTAATTCCAGCTAGGGATTCATCCAGCCCAGCCTTTCGCTTGATGAAGTCTTCATATAAGTTAATTAAGCAAGGAGAGAATATACAGCCTTGTTGCACTCCTTTCCCAATTTTGAACCAATCAGTTGTTTCATTCCCAGTTCTAACTGTAGTTTCTTGTCCCACATAGAGATTTCTCAGGAGACAGATGAGGTGATCAGGCACTCCCATTTCTTTAAGAACTTGCCATAGTTTGCTGTGGTCGACACAGTCAAAGGTTTTTGTATAGTCAATGAGCAGAATTAGATGTCTTTCTGGAACTCTCTAGCTTTCTCCATAATCCAGCACATGTTTGCAATTTGGTCTCTGGTTCCTCTGCCCCTTCGAAATCCAGCTTGCACTTCTGGGAGTTCTCGGTCTACATACTGCTTGAGCCTTCCTTGTAGTATTTTAAGCATAACCTTGCTAGCGTGTGAATTGAGTGCAATTGTGCAGTAGTTGGAGCATTCTTTGGCACTGCCCTTCTTTGGGATTGGGATGTAGACTGATCTTCTCCGATCCTCTGGCCACTGCTGAGTTTTCCAAACTTGCTGGCATATTGAGTGTAGCACCTTAACAGCATCATCTATTAAAATTTTAAATAGTTCAGCTGGAATACCATCACTTCCACTGGCCTTGTTATTAGCAGTGCTTTCTAAGGCCCATTTGACTTCACTCCAGGATGTCTGGCTCAAGGTCAGCAACCACACTACCTGGGGTGTACAAGACATCCATATCTTTCTGGAATAGTTCCTCTGTGTATTCTTGCCATCTCTTCTTGATGTCTTCTGCTTCTGTTAGGTCCTCACCACTTTTGTCCTTTATTATGGTAATATTTGTACAAAATGTTCCTTTCATATCTCCAATTTTCTTGAAGACATCTCTGGTTCTTCCTATTCTGTTGTTTTCCTCTATTTCTTTGCATTGCTCGTTTAAGAAGGCCTTCTTGTCTCTCCTTGCTATTTTTTGGAAATCTGCATTTAATTTCCTGTATCTTTCACTATCTCCCTTGCATTTTACTTACCTTCTCTCCCCTGCTATTTGTAAGTCCTCGTTGGACAGCCACTTTGCTTTCTTGCATTTCCTTTTCATTGGGATGGTTTTTGTTGCTGCCTCCTGTATAATGTTGTGAGCCTCCATCCATAGTTCTTCAGGCACTCTGTCCACCAATTCTAAATCCTTAAACTTGTTCCTCACTTCCACTGTGCATTCATAAGGGATTTGATTTAGATTGTATCTTACCCACCCAGTGATTTTTCCTACTTTCTTCAGTTTAAGCTTGATTTTTGCTATAAGAAGCTGATGATCTGTGCCACAATCAGCTCCAGGTCTTGTTTTTGCTGACTGTATAGAGCTTCTCCATCTGTGGCTGCAGAGAATATACTCAATCTGATTTCAATACTGCCCATCTGGTGATGTCCATGTGTAGAGTCGTCTCTTGTGTTGTTGGAAAAACGTGCTTGTGATGACCAGCTTGTTCTCTTGACAGAACTCTATTAGCCTTTGCCCTGCTTCGTTTTGATCTCCAAGGCCAAACTTGCCAGTTGTTCCTTTTATCTCTTGATTCCCTACCTTAGCATTCCAATCCCCTATAATGAGAACATCCTTCTTTGGTGTCATTTCTATAAGGAGTTGTAAATCTTCACAGAATTGGTCAGTTTCAGTTTCTTTAGCACCAGTAGTTGGTGCATATACTTGGATTACTGTGATGTTAAAAGGTCTGCCTTGGATACGTATCGAGATCATTCTATCATTTTTGAAATTCCATCCCAGTACAGCTTTCGCCACTCTTTTGTTGACTATGAGCGCCACTCCATTTCTTTTGCGGGTTTCTTGCCGACAGTAGTAGATATGATGGTCATCCGAACTGAATTCACCCATTCTTGTCCATTTTAGTTCACTGATGCCCAGGATGTCAATATTTATTCTTGGCATCTCACTTTTGACCACATCCAACTTACCCAGGTTCATGGTTCTTACATTCCAGGTTCCTATGTAATATTTTTCTTTACAGCACTGGACTTTCTTTCGCTTCCAAGCATATCCACAACTGAGTGATCTTTCAGCTTTGGCCCAGCCACTTCATCAGCTCTTATACTTGTAATTGTCCTCCACTCTTCCTCAATAGCATGTTGGACGCCTTCCTTTTTTAAAATTTATTTCTTTTTCCCCCTATTTTTTTTATAAAATGATATTTATTAGGAGTTTAAAATATTACAGAAAATAGAAAAAGGAAAACAATAAAAAAAATTTAACAGAACATACCTTACAATACATAAAGAGAAAAACATAGAAAAACAATACAGCAAAACAGCAAAAAGAAACAAAAACACTAAAACATACATCCAATGTTCCATATCTTTACCTTTCATTTACTTGTTTCATCGGCCTCCTCACACCTCCCTTTTTTGTATTCTAGTTCAATTACCTATTTCAACAAATTCTTTCCATCTTTCTCAATTTTTGTTCTATATTTTATCTTAACAGTCTAATCTTAAATTTTTCATTTTAGCCCATTATCAATCAGTTTTTACTTAATTCTTTATTACAATTCTGCTAAAACCAAATACCTTCATTCCAGCATCCTTCTAACATTCATTAATTTTGCTATATTTTTGTAAATATATATACTTTACATTTTTTCCAATCTTCTTCCACCAACTGTTCTCCCTGATCTCGGATTCTGCCAGTCATTTCCGCCAGTTCCATGTAGTCCATCAGCTTCATCTGCCATTCTTCCCTGGTGGATAGATCTTGTGTCTTCCAGTGCTTTGCGATAAGTATTCTTGCTGCTGTTGTAGCATACATAAAGAATGTTCTGTCTTTCTTTGGCACCAATTGGCCGACCATGCCCAGGAGAAAGGCCTCTGGTTTCTTCAGAAAGGTATATTTAAATACCTTTTTCATTTCATTATAGATCATCTCCCAGAATGCCTTAATCTTTGGGCATGTCCACCAAAGGTGAAAGAATGTACCTTCAGTTTCATTACATTTCCAACATTTGTTATTGGGCAAATGGTAAATTTTTGCAAGCTTGACTGGTGTTATGTACCACCTGTAAATCATTTTCATTAAATTCTCTTTTAAGGCATTACATGCCGTAAACTTCATACCAGTGGTCCATAACTGTTCCCAGTCCGCCATCATAATATTATGTCCAACATCTTGTGCCCATTTAATCATAGCAGATTTCACCGTTTCATCTTGAGTATTCCATTTCAACAGCAAGTTATACATTCTTGACAAATACTTGACTTTAGGGTCTAACAATTCTGTTTCCAATTTTGATTTTTCCACCTGGAAGCCTAATTTTTTGTCCAAATTATATGCCTCCATTATTTGATAATAATGGAGGCAATCTCGTACTCTGTTTTTTAATTTTTCAAAGCTCTGCAGTTTTAATCTGTCTCCCTCTTGTTCCAAGATTTCCCAATACTTCGGCCATTTGGCCTCCATATTGAGTTTTTTCTTTCCTTCCTTTAAAGTTAAAGGATAGACCTTGAGGAAATTCCCACCTGAAGATGATTTTGTTCCTTCTCAGCAGGGCCACCAAATCTCCAAAATTGGACCTAAGGTCCAAAAGATATTTTGGGATATCTTTAAATATTTCCACTCTTGACTGATGTATTATCAAAGTCTTCTCATAGTCCCAACCCAAAATTCTGTCTCTCTCTTCTTTAGATCTGAGGGTAATCAAACAATCTCTTATTCTGTTCTCATCCTTGTTCCCTCCTCTTCCAAGTCTAAAGGCTCTCACGATTCTAAACTCCTCTTTTTGCAAGTCCAAATCCCAACAGTCTGCAAATTCCTGCATAAGAAACTCTGACAAAGAACCCTTTTCCAGTTCAGGTACAGCTCTATTTCTCAGATTTATCTGTTTTTCCTTGAGGTCAATCATAGAAAGCGCCAACTTATGGTCCTCCAGCTGCTTCTCTAGGTCTGGAACTCTCTCTGTTTCCAATTGAGATACCCTTGCCTCCACAGCAACAACTTTTTCCTTGGCTTCCTCTGCGATCTGTTGGGTCGAATTAGACTCTTGTATCAGTTTCTCAATAGTTTCTGTATTTGTA